TGCAAGGAGACTACTTCGTATCTCATGTTGCTAATAAGACCTCCTCTATTAAACCTGAAGAAGCTTGACAATCTAGTTCTGGCTCTTGCTGGCTCTACTGTTTTGTTACTTGCATCTCTCGGGGGCGTAGAGACTGCAAATCTTTATCCTTGCACACTTGGGTTTGCTGGCCTGCAGGGTTTGTGCATGTTTTTCTAGTGGCCCTGGGTTTTGTAAAAGTTGTCTGTAACTTCCCATTAGCTATGGGGGAACAAGCTTGAGTAGTGACTCCTTTGAAAAGTCCTTTGCAGGGGTGCAACAGGAGGGAATAGTGCTAGGATTGAATTACTTGGGTGGGAAGGAAGGTGCAAGGCAGGCAGAAAAGGAAGCGATTTATTTCTCTCTGATCCTGGTGCTGCTGCATGTCTGGGGCAGAAGAGGCTCATGCAAGCTGCCTCTCAGGGCTGACAACTATCTTTGAAATTCCTAGTCTGGATGGTTTAGCTGCTTTATTTCCTACTTCTACCCTTGTGGCTTTGCTATCTTTCAGTGCCCGCAATCAGTGATCCTTACGTAATTAATCTCTTCCGCATGCCAGCCACTAAACAAGGCAGGGCATGGAGCGTCGCAAGGTTATTTTTACTTGACATGGATCCCAGCCAGTTTATAACCAGACTTAAAGGCAAAATGATGCCCACATCATCAGAGCAGATTTTAGTATCCAATCTTAAGTCTGTTGCAGAGGCGGGCAAAATGTGGCCCATGGGCCGCATGCAGCCCGCCAGGCCATTCTATCGGACCCATGGGGCCACTAAAAAATTTAGAAAATTAATATTTATCTGCCCCTAGCTGCCTGTCATGTGGCTCTCGATGGCTTGCCAAAACTCACTAAGTGGCCCCCCACCCAAAATAATTGCCCGCTCCTGGTCTATTCTAACTCTTAGCTACTTTGATTACCTAAAACCAGTCTAATCCCCTTAAAATGCTAAACAGCAGGTACACCTTACCTAGAGACTTCACCTGAATTTTCAGACTCAGACATGTCGAAGTTAGGCAGGCCAAGAAATGAGCTTTCTTTTTTCTCTCTCTTGTAGAAGGGGTCATCTTAGTGGGACACCATGGTTTCTAGCCAGCTCCCTGCCAGGGTCACAGCTTCCAAGCATTCTTTTATCCAGCCTCCCCAGAGAAGTCCAACTGATCTACAGCTTTCTTACCAACTAACCTTTCACCCAACTGCTTGAAACCCTGCTGGAAATGCCAATACCAGTGCTCTTGTGCGTAGTGTGCTGAGATGAAATCCCTCTGTGTCCTGCAGCTCTAATTAGCTTCAATTGCATAGGATCAAAGACACTACAAAGTCTCTACAGCCATGTGAAAGCTCCTTGTTCCTGCCTTGCAGGGAGCCTTGGGGTCTTAGCACAGCTGAGTTGTTTGGCTGAGGCATTGTAAGGGTCAGCCTTGCTGGCACAGTGATATGTTCGGGAGCTGTGCGCCCAGTTCACGCATCCTCTGCCACAAGAGGAGATGCAGGCAAATGCCATTACCTACTGATGAACAGGAAGAGAAGATCCCCCCCACACACCTTGTTCTCTGCTCTTGCCCTGCCAAGGTAGGACATTTCAATGCATTACTTAAAGCTGGTATAATCCTGGCAGGAGAGAGAGAAAAGCGGGGAAAATCGACAGGTTTGTTATCCAAACACCCCCTACAACCTTCTCCAGAGAAGACTAATACTAGGTCCCTAGAAAAATGGAGACCCCACTAGTGGGTGTTGCTTTTGGTAGGTATAACTAAAAGTACAGGACTGGGTGAGGGAGCAAATGGCATTGAGTCCTGGCAGTGCAAGTCCTTAGCAGGGTTTGAGAGGGGGGCTCTGCACTGGTTTCACTGCATTTCTGGCTTTCTGTTCAAGGCTGATCAAACTGCATCTTATTTCCAAGTGACATGCCGGGGGAAAGTTCAGAGCAGGACTTAGGCATGAGTGGTAAGTAGGAGTGTTCCCTTCAGTCACCGGAAGTACAAATATTATTAATATTAATATTGTGTTGGTTGCCAATTAACCCAGGGCAGGGTTGAAACCAGCTTCCCACTCCCCCTTCCAAAAATAAATAGGTGTGGTCTGTGAAGCAACTTTAGGCCACTGAGAAGTCTAAGCCGTGATTTCCCTATAGTCCTGCCACGTTTACAACTTGCTGATCCGCTGTCATTAAAACCAATCATCTGCTTCCTCTAGATACGAACGGAGGATCTAAGATAACGACTGGCTTGGCAATAGTTGCTGGAGTAGGTAAAGGGCCAGCTCAAAGCATGTAACCTAGTGTTTGGTTGGGTTAATCACCAAGCTTAGGGGGTGCATGTGCACCTGTGTGCACGCCCTGCGTGTTGTCAGTGCAATACACAGACGTCTCTTCTGTAAACTGCCCTTTAACTAGCTCCACTCGCTATGCCTCGTGGGCAGCCAAAGCAAAGAAAGTACCACATTGCCCCCCTCCCTGCCCCCAAACTGATTCTTCACCTCAAGGTTCACTGATGAAGGAGGTGCCATGTGGGGATATGGGGCCTGTCTGCAATGCAGCTTGATCAAGAGATTTGGCCACTAGTACTGTCATCAGGATCTTTAATGTATTTGTACTTGCGGTCCTCCTCTGATGTACAACTTGCATGTGGGGAGTGGAGACCCAGATCCAAAACCAGACAGAGGCACCTCAGATCTACTTAAGTGCAAGATAAAGATTCTGACAACCCATCCGTCAGCTGCCGTCCAACCAAGCTCCACAGCCACCCTGATACACATTGCTAGACGTCAATAGGTACCTAAAATTATGTTCAGTCTGGTGGAAAAACGAGAAGGGAGATTTCAGCAGGGGGTTAAGACAGAAGCTGAAAAAAAAAATTGTTCTGGGAAAGGAAACCGTGCTCTGTTCACGTGGTCTCTAAATGCGGGAAGGGCAATGGTGAGGACCCCAGTCACAGTCAGGCCAGTGTGATTTCCTGAAGTAGGAACGGCTGTTGACTCGCTTCTGGCCAAAATGTCAGCTATTTTGTAGCCCAAGAAAGGGGAGCTGCTGGAAGTGCAGTGGCACTCAGCTGTGCAATGGTCACAGGCCACTTAATCTTTCATGCAGATATTTTAGTCCCCAATGCTGTCATGCCTGCGAACTCTGCCCAGCAAGCACGTGGTATTTCACAGTGGTCCTCAGTCCTCTTGTGTAACCTGGAGGCAAGCCTTGTCCTGTCACTCCTCCAAGACCCTACTAGCAACATAACTGAGCTGAGATGGGCCACATGTAGGGCAGCCTAGTGGCACTAGCTGGACCCACAGCAGGGTGGCTTGCAGCCCCGTTTGCTTAGCTCTTGGGCCCCTGGCACAACTTGCATCACATCTGGTTGGTAAATTTGCCAATCCCTTCCTTCTGCTGGAAACAGGCAAAAGCATTCCCGTCCTGTGTCTTCTTTCAGCATTGACGGCATAAGAAACTGGGTGCACTAGGGTGACGTAGTGATACCGGTTCTCAGGAAACTGCTTTCAGTTCCCTGCAAGGAGAAACAGCATGTCAAATCAGGCCCTGAAAACCTCTGGCTCTGCTTCCTCCACAAGAGATGCCAAGATCCATTTGGATCTTTATGCTGACTGAGGTCCGTAAAGCAATAAAGCCTTCACAAGCTTACATGCTGGTGTGCAAGAATGACTTCATTATAAATATGCAACATACTGAACTACCACGTGCTCACCGACACACCACTCTTGGGATGGGCAGCTACTGGGGTTGTCAAAGGGAAAACAGGGCCAGAACCCCTAGGAGGTCTTTGATGGTAGATGTAGATAGCATCTTCCTCCAAGGGATCTATGGTAAATATAAGGTTTTATCCCCTGACCACTCATGATATCGTCCCCAGTCACTGGCAGGCTGTACCATAGTACTGCTGCCTTTTCTCACACTGTTTGATGAAGATCTCTACCGAAGACATGATGAGCCACGGGGGGAGGTTCTGTGTAATGAGAACATGGCACCTGCTACGGGGGCCCTTGGCTAGTAGATGCTGCAGTGGGTCCCTCCGTTCTCTGGCGTGGAACAGGCCTGCAGTCGCAAGAGATTAAGGACCTTCTGTTTTTTTGTTTATTAGGTTGCAAAGTTACTTAAAGTATCAAGAAAGGTGAACCAATGTGGACCGAGAAAGCCCTCCAGTTGCTCCTCTTTGCCATTGCAGGATTTCACTAATTCTGTTTGTATAGAAAGTGCAAAGAACTGCTTTTTCATGTAGGATGAGCGACTTTATACCTGAATCACCCCCACATGCAGAGACCGTCCTCTTCCCACTGAAAAGCAGTAACAGAGGATGTATTGATCTGCGGTTCACCTTTTAATAATGTTCCTGGGGCAGCAAGACACCTGCCAGTGGGTCTCCAAGCTGAGCTGGTAGGAGGGGACATAAGGTCCGTGTCCCTGGCTTGGGAGCTGGTGGGGTGAACCATGGCCAGGATCCCAGAGGGAAGCCCTTCAAGGGCTTTTGCTTATTCTTGTGCACTGAGAATCAATAGGATGCAAATCTTCCTGAGCCTGGGCCTGCTGGGCCAGGGACATAACCAGCTCCCACCAGGTGCCCATCCTGCTAAGAACAAACTCCAAACACTGGGCTCCTGCATTCGGCTGCTCAAATACCCCTATAATACACCTGTTTAGGTGGAAATAAACATACTGCTCCCAGGGTTAAAAAAAAGCCTCCCTTTGCAACCCAGACCAAGCAACATGATGATGTCTACCTGTGTCTACAACCAGGGAGCCCATCCGCAGCAGGTGCCATTGCACAGAAGAGCAAAAGGATGACTAAGTAGTACTTGGTGCTATTAAATCAAACCCTCATCTCAGGGCACTGATTTCCTCTTCTCATGTTGCCCACGTCATCTTGAATGAAAAATGTGGGTGTACAACAGTGCTTTCAGCTCAGCGTCTGGCTTATGCATAAGTTTCACAGAGCTGGCAAACTGAAACCTAAGGAACAAGCTCCTCCCAGCCGCAACACGGCCAGCACATAAAAGAGCAGGGAAGGGGATCCGCAGTTAGAGGACTCTCCTTCCTGATTCAGCCTAGCAAGCAAGGTTGGTAGATGTTTCCTTTCTGCATTTGAACCTTGGGCTAATTCTGTTTTTGGAGGCAGCTGCGCTCTTCTTCAGGGCAGAAGGATGCAGAAGCAGGTTGCAGCAAAAGCAGCTGCTGCGTTAGCCTCTGCAGCCAACCTGGGAGGCATCTCTAAGGAAAACGGGACTGAGAGGGGGCAGCTCGAAACCCCCTAGAGACACTCTGGGATTTACTGCCGTGCATTGCAAAGGCTTCCTGGATGCATGTAGGGAGAATGTGGAGGGGCTGGCTAGATGTGCCTGCTCAGGCTGTCGCTGTCGTAGCAATGAACTGCTCCTGGGGGGGAAGGGAGGCATGGTGGGGATATATGCCCGTCAGATTTGTGTGTGGGGGCAGATGTGGGATGCCTGCTGTAGGCTCAGGGGCCCCTGCCCTCGGGAGCCCTGCGCCAGCTGTGGCAAGGCACCCCCTGCCTGCCCAGCAGCAGCGGGGGTGGCAGCAGTGGTACAGAGTTGTGTCCCCTGCTGCTGCCAGGCAGGCAAGAGGCACCTTGCCGTGGCCGGGACAGGGCTTGCAGGGGCCGGGCAGCAGGGCAGGGAGCCCCAAACTGGCAGTGGGCAGCCTGCATCCACATCTGCCCCCCATGGGCTCTGCTCGGCCCCAGCCCCACCACGGAGGCAGTGCTAATCCTTGCAAGGATGAAGGTTTGGATGTGCATGACCTTGCCCAGCAGATCTGCCATGCCTATCACGGTGCTGGGCAGGACTCGCCCAATGAATGCCGTGTGGGGGAGAGGTGGGTTGCAGGTAGGGTTGCTCACTCTCTCTGAGTTTCCAGAACACCAACATGCCTGCGTGCTCACATATATCACTTACGGATTATGTTGCATAGACGTTATGTCAGGAAGGCAAATGCACGTTACTATTACATTTTAAAAACCCACTGGACTACTGTTTAAATTAGACTCAACATTTAATATTTATTTTAATGAATGTCCTATCATTTAACCCCCGGGTGACTCTCAGCAGTCTCCTGGAGATTTAGATCTAATTCCTGGAGACTCCAGGGCAATCCTGGAGGGTTGACAACCCTAGCTGCAGGTCAGCTATTCTCAGTCGCGCTCATGTCCTACTTTTAGTAGAAGTGGGGCATGTACCTACAAGAAAAGGTGATTTGCTAGATGGAGCTGCCTTATGATGCCACAGCCACAGCCCCAGGCCTGTGTCTGTGCCTCTCTCCTCATCCCCAGTGGACCATGTTTTGAGGGGATTGGACTGGTCTAACTGCATTTCTGTGTTATCCTCAGCCTCCCCGTGGTGCTTCCACTGCCACCAACAGGAGCCCTGCCACCTGGATCCAGGATCACAAGCCACTCTTCAATATGTTTGGTAAGGTCCCACTTTCTTTCTGGAACAGGAATAGCATACGTCCCTGGCACTACTAATAAACTGGCAAGCTATGCGGGGGGCCAGGGATCCCTGCACAACCCCAAGTCCTAGCTTCTTGCTTGGAAGCATTGGGTTCGGGACACAGACAGACAAAAAACCCTAGATGGTGAAGGAGCCCGACTTTGATCCAGTGTGGTGCTACCTGGCGCACATGGACCCTAGCTGTGGCGAGTGGTCCTCTTACACACAATGGGCAGGAGAATCTTCCCAAAAGGGCAAGTGCTGGGTAAAGTCACTGCTGAGCAGCGCCTTCTCCAAAAGACCCTTGAGAAGAGCAGCGCAAAGCCGGCAGGGTCAGGAGCCAGGGATTTCCAACCTGAATGCCAGAGCATTAATGCCGACCAGCAGCATCCTAAGGAAAACCGTCTGCTGAAAACCAGCTCATTAACAAAAACCTTTCCTCTTTCAGACTTTCTGGCCTCTGCACTGGGAGCAGGAATCGGATTGGGTAAGTCACTAGCTTGAGAGACAGGTTGCTCGTTTCAAAATGAACGAGGGTTTAACTAGGCGTTATTCAGTAGGCCTGTGCAAAGGGGCTAGTATTTGATTCAGATTTGGCCAATTCGGGGGACAGTGATTCGATTTGGTGATTTGAATCCCTGCCCTGAATTGATTCGGCCAAATCTGATTTGGTGATTCAGCTGCTGCACCAAGGAATGCTGCAGTTTCTGAACTCACGTGAATATTAGGATCTCTATTTTACGTATTCGGGAAGTGCTTCATCGAGGAAAGACATTCCCCAACCTGTCGCTGTGGTGGTACAAGGCACAAGACACTAAAGCACTAAGTGAATGGATGTAAAGGTGGTTCTGCAGCAGAAAGCTGGATATACCGTGCACCAGGATCCCATTTTATAACTAATGCTCTTTGCAATGCAGGAGTTGCAGTTGTCGGAGTCCCTGTAGTCC